GACTGGGGGTACATCTATTATAAGATCATCTTCATCAGATTCTTGAAGATTTATTTTAATTCTTATTGGTGAAACACAAGGTCTTTGGCTTTCCAGGGCCAGGTGGCAATCTTTATCCACAGATTTTTTCAAGTGGTAGAAGTGCTGTTGATCAGTGTCATCTTCCTTTGCTTTAAATGTCCCAAGCAGCTCTGCAGAACCGAGCAAAGGATCATATTCAAGATCAGTTTCTGGGCATTTAAGGTCCATGACATACTTTTGAGGCTGCTTGTCATTCTTTGATGACTCATTCCACTTTCCCTTTGGGATCAGGCTATTCTCAGGAAACTCTTTCCTCACATTTGTGTCCTTCGAGGAGGATCTAGGACTTTGAGTTAGTTCTCCAGCTGCTGAAGTAAATGTGGACAGCCTCTTCTGCTTGTCGTCAACCTTAGTCCTGACTGACTCAATTTTCCTGTTAATTCTTTCCAGTTCTTCCATAGCTGAACCCAGTGCTGTCAATGGAAAATGAGTTTTATCTTTAAAGGGTAGTTTACTAAGTGATCAGTTCTAGAGGGAGAATGAGAAGCCAACAACTACCACTATGTTTGTCTTCCCAATATGTCTCACTCACTCCTATGACTGATTAAAGTACATTCATGCCTTATTACTAAAGAGACTATGTGTCAATAGGACAAGCCTGATCTATGCATAATTATTAAGTTGTATCAAACATGACATGGTTTGGATATAAACTATTCATCTTACTATTAGCAACCAGTGGCAAGTTGGAAACAGCTCAAACAGCTGAATGCCGCTTCCATAGAACTGTATAGAGTCTCATTCACCGATACATCTCTGCTGACCACAAGAAAGTTGTTTAAAGCATCAGTCTTTCCTTCCTTTAGGGCAGGGGTCCTCAAACTTTTTAAACAGGGGGCCAGTTCACTGTCCCTCAGACTGTTGGAGGGCCAGACTGTGGGCCCCAGTTAGAGTCCCCTGCTAAGCAGGACAGGCTGCAAAAACACCAGGCGGGCTGGATAAATGTCCTAGGCAGCTGCATGTGGCCCTCAGGCCGTGGTTTGGGGACGCCTGATTTAGGGAGTCTCGACATTCTCACCAAGGTCCTTGATGTCTATAGAAGGTTTTGAACACCCTCCCAACAGCTATCAAAATCTAAGAGCCAGCAAGCAAAAGTCCAGGGTAGCCAGATCCACACTCTTGAGAAAACCCTGGACAGTGGTAAGTCAGGAAGTAATGGCTGCCTGCCACACCCGGGCAGCTCCTTCTCCAATTTTTACTAGGGAAAATCCCAACTTTGTCCCTTTTTCCGAGATATACTTTCTTGAATCAATTACAGGATAACTTACACGCTTCTCCCTTCTCCTAAACAAGAGATTTCAGATTTGAGATGTGGCCCAAATTATGTTTTTTAAAACCCTGAACTTTAGATAACCTACATGTTTTGATCACACCCATGGCTGCTCTTTACACAGTAAGCTTCCTCCTGGTTAAAGAGCCTTTCTACTTCCATTTATTTCCTATTCAAAAATAAATTAACTCCATTGAAATCCAAAACAATAAAGAATGAGACAGCTTGATGGAGGAGGGAGGAGGAAAGAGCAGGAACAAGAATGAGAATTATCTTAGGACTCAAACCTAAATGCCTGAATCTAACTTTTCTCTTTAAATAAATGTGGAGAGGGAAGTACACTCGGGATAACCAGTCAGAAGTACATTTTGGCATAAGCTGGGTTTTATTTGGTCACCATGATTGAGGAAGAGCTTTGTGAAAGAAAAGAAAAGAAAAAAGTAATTATACTTTCCTTCTATGTTACAAGTTTAAGTTTTTTCACTTCATCAGAAGCTAGATTTGGAGGGCTCATCGTTAAGTCTGAAGGCACACTTAAAATCAAATGAGAGGTGATTGGGCACAGCTGCGTTTGACGGGCCATTATTACTTCTTGCCTTCACCAGAATTAACCGAGGCCTAGCGGCCAGTTCCCACCCTCCGTCTCCAAGCGCGGTCCCAGCGCCCACCTTTCACAACTGCGCAGGAAGCTCCTCCAGTAACTCCACGTGGGGGATGGCAGCAGGGACCCAGGTTAAGTCCACGCAAGATCACTCACCTGCGTCTTTCAACAGGCAGACCTTGCCCAGGCCGTTCTGGACGCCTTTCTAGAACTTGTACCCCCAGGGGTCGTTTTAGGGGTTCTTGCCAGGTTCTCACGAGGCCCCCACAAGCCCCTGGTCCCGCCCGCGGGCCGCATGACTTCGGCCCCGCCCGGATCCGAGCCCTGGAGACTCGCTGCCCGCAGGGCGCTGCGGAGCTTGGACTCCCCACAGGGAGGTAGGGGCGCCCTCTGGACCGCCACGCATGCCCAGCATCTTCCCCAACGTCGCTAGGACCGCTCCTCCCAAACCCAGGGTTTCAGGAACTGCGGGACCCCAAGAGGCCGGCGGAAAACAGCCCCAAACGGGACCCCGGTAGCACCTTCACGCTTCGGTATATCTCAGGACAGAGAAAGAGGCGACCAGGAACTGGACTTAAGGCTTCCGATCCTGCGAAGACTTAGCCTTGAGGACTCCGGAACAACTTGGTTCCTAGATCTAAGGCAAGCGGTGGTGGTTCTCTAAACACCGCCAGCCCATAGGGACAGACCGTAAGAAGCTGGAGTAGTCAAGGTCGAGGAAAACACAAGGCTAGCACGGGAGAGCAGAATTTAAAATAACTTTTGTCTTGAGCCACTAGGGGAGAGGCAGGTCGGAGGCACCAGGGTAAGAAAATAAGGAGGCGTTTGGGGCGGGGAGAGACTGCTACGTTGGCAAGGAGCTAGTTTATTATGCCCTTTCGGGGGACACAGGTCAGGGACCAGGACACCTGTTCGGGAAATGCAGGCTGAGCTAGTAGTGGCCCTACGGTCAGCGGTGGACAAGTGAGAAGACCCACCTACACCTCCGGCCCGGGACACTAGGAAGGACTCGCTGATCTTTACATACACTCCCTGCCCCCACATTCAACTCCCTCCGGATACCTGACTGCGCCTCACAAGGTTGTCTACAAACTGTGCCAACTGTTCCGAGGACAAAAAGCCTGCTTTTAAAAATATAGTTAATACGTCTTCTTTGCCATTGTAGACGTTTGGCCAGAGCAATGCTATACACAACTTTCTCTGTGATGATTTTAGTATTAAGTCAAAAATGACTCTTAAACCTGTTTCCAATTAAGAGAATTCTTGGCACCTCCCAATGATGAATGGAGGGAAAGCATGGGAATAGTTGTTCCTCAACCTCTTCCCAAGCCCACCTGCCACTCTGTGCACAACCCTTTCTCACCCACGGACTCAACACGACTCCTTTGCACCTGGGTCACCTCCATGCAGCGGCAACCAGCTGCCTCACTCAGTTCCCACCACATCTCCGGGTGCCCGAACTGGCAGTACAGACGCTGACACCGACCCCCAGGGCTGTCAAAAGGGCATAGAAAATGGCAAAAGTAACCTGCAGAGGGGAGCATGAGTTGCTGGCCAAGCCTACCCCTACAGGCTCAGAAACCGTGTGCGCTGCTGGCAGATAGCACGCCAAGCCGAAACCTGCTCTCCTAACTACTTCCCGCCACACTACCTTCTTATATAGTCCCTTGCTACTGAAAGGCGGAGCTTCTCAGCTTTCCCGACCAATGACAAGTTAGACCCAGGCTGGCGTCTGCGCAGAAAAGGAGATCGAAGGAGGAGAAGACCAGCAAGCACCGGAAATGGTGGGTGACTATGAGGCATAAATCTGTTCTCTGAAGGGGAGAGGAATCGTAGAGATCTCAGCCCAACGCCTGAGTTGTGGAACCTCATTCCTCTTGGATGCTTGGGCCTTTCTTGCTTCTCAAGTCCTTAGACACTTGTAAATTTGACTATCCACCACCGTGGACTATGGAGTGAACCTCAGTTTGGAAGCACACTGTAGCTCTGTGCATCTCTAGCAGGTGACCTTAGGCAAACTTACCTGAGTTTTTGTTTTGTGATCTGTAAAATAAACTCACCTTTTTCAGAGTAGTGGAATTAGATTTCCATGGGATGTAATAAAGTGCCTAGCATAAAGTAGGTTCTCAAGAAATGGGAGCTATTGTTATGGCCTACACCTGAGGAGGGCGATGAACCTTGCCCTGAGTTGGTCTCCTCCCCACATCCGCACGCAGCTGCACAGGACACAGATGTGATGCATGTCCTTAAAATCCTTCTACTGGAAGCTAATCCCTGAAAGGGAAACGTTATCCCTATTCCATTTGTCTTCTTGATAAATACTCTAGGTGTAGATAATCTCAGAGGTCACTAATAAGCTTGAATTAGTCTTTGAGATGCTTTACTCCTCTCACGATGGAACATAATGATCCCAAATGCCTGGGAGAAGAAAAAAAGAAAGGTGCTTCAGCTTTAAAAGACTCAAGGTCAGTGAGTCCTCCTCTAAGAAACTACCTGCTGGGATCCCCTCTTTCTTGTGGAACATCAGGTATCTCAAATGGTTGTGGATTATGAATTCTTTAGAAATGGAAAAAAAACCCTTTTATTCTTACTATTTGTCCTGTGAGCATCGCCCTGATGACTCTTAGTTCAAGAATGCCGGGAGTTCTACCACTAATTTCTGTTCAGTCTCTTGATCAACTGTTTTGTGAATGAAACACCAACAGGTGTGTTCTTTGGCTTTGGCTGCATGGTGGTGGACTGCATAGGTGGTGGTGAGTGCCCCCAGGGAAGGTAAATATCTGAATGTCACCATTTAAAAGAGATCCACCCATAATGAATAACTTTCATAAGTCACTCTCCGGGATTGTTTTGACTTGATGGAGTATCTTAAATTATTTCCATGTACTTTTTCCATTGAGCTTTTATAACCAAGATAATTTTTATTGAAAGTATCCTTCTTTTAAGACAGCGAAATGTTTAAATGTCTTAGCGGAGTTTCAAAATCATGACATTAACTAAATACAAAGGTGTTTTTGGTATGACAGAAGAATTAAAGTTCTCTATTCATCAATCAGTATTTAGTAAATCTGACTCATCGTTTAGGCTTATATCTTCCGAGCCCGTGGAAATCATATCTGTAGCTTTCGATCTTGTTCTTGGGCTTGTGCTTCTCATATCTGAAGAAGTATTGCCCCAAAGAGTGCTGCTCTCTGCACTTTTAGAAAAAGATGTATCTGATACACCTTCTGATGGATGAAAGTAGGACATGGTAGCCAGTTCTGGGTTGATAGAATATTGACTCTCATAATCGTTCTGACTGAAAAAGAAAAGAACATATCAAAAAGTGTACTTAATTGCATACATTTGCTATTCAACTTAGAGAAGCGTTCACAAAAATTCGGTCTAATGTATTAGGTACTTAGTAACATAAGTGATGTACCTTCATAGTTTTTTTCACTGTAATTTTAATATATTTAATACTTGTGTGAATGAAGTGTGTTTCAAATTTCAAGACTAGGATTTAGAAACCAATTTGTAAAAAGTAAGTAAAAGTTGCCTTAATAAAAGTTTAATTAGAATCACATACAGTGAAGCTGGATTGGGGGGAATAAATACCTAGGGTCATAGTTTTAATGGACCAGAGAAATACAGCATTCATCAAAAACACCACAATCAAAAGAATGGAATTAATGATAATTATGAACATTAATCAATTCTGATACGATTTTCAAAAGTGGTCTGCTACACTGTTGAAAAATTTTAAATAATCCCTTCAATCAGGCTTGAATTTAATATTTTTATTAGAATAAATGGATAGGCCTCAAGGTGTAATTCTGACAGCAATTTGCTAGTTTTTGAAGTCCTAAGGCTTGCTTGAATGAAAAATCTTAGATGCGAGGCAGATATGCTATATAGAACAGAATATATAATACTTTTGTTCCAAGGCTACAAAAAAAAAAGAGAGAGAGACAAAGCCTATCTTGATTCTCTACATCCTTTCCAATTGACTAGAGTTTTATATCTATCTCTAGATCACTATTTAAAATACTGAAGGACTGTTCAAGTAGGATGTTCCCTGAGAAATAGTTCTTCTGAATAGGGGAAATGGAGTCAAAGTAAATACTTTGTAAATTTGGGAGTCACATATTTCCAACAATCTACTTAAGAGAGGAGGGAGAGAGCTTGACATGATGCATTAATTATGGAGACCTCAGAGGTCTACAGACTTACCCCATCCGCTTCAGTTTGAACAGTGTGGCACAGCACAATCCCAAGAGGATCAAAAAAAGGAACAGGGTCATCAACGAGATGCCCAGCATCAATTTGATCTTAAGCTCCTCTAGCTCTGATATTTTGTCATCATTTGCCATCAATAGATCTGATCCTGAGAGGAAAGGAAAAAATGCACCAGACAAAAGCAAGAGCATAGAAGGCCTACACCATCTGGGGTATCCACTGCTCACCACTCCCCCCCAGCCAGGCAACACCAGGAGAAAGCTAATTCCTATGGTCAAGTGCTCTTGACTTTTCTCTTTAACCTTCACAGCAATCCCCGAGGAGTTGTCCTTAGCTCCATTTTACAGGATCACAGAAGTTTGTGGATTTTCCCGTGGCACAGAAAATGCTTTCAAATTCAAGTTACCAGATGTCAAAATGTGCATGTAGCTGTCTTCCTCCCCGACTTTACTAGAAACCAATCAACCTATCATCTGTGACAGTATTACTATTTAAAACAATTGACTTATAAAGAACTAGTCCTTCAGGAAGGGAAGGTGTGTGTTCTACTTTGGGACATGCACCGATTTTTCTTTTAAGCTAAAAGGATGGCGTATGGGATGCTGTCTCTATGAGGCTTAAGAGCTTTGTCCTTTTATTACTGAGAGGATTAAACCCAGTGTACTTGACGTTACAAAGAGAAATGGAAACTACTTGTTTAACTTTCTAAAATAAGTTTAAAAATTATATCTAGACCCAGAGGTACCAAGAGTCTTTACTAAATCTATTCATGAAGATATATCTTTATTGCCACATGTTAAATCTGACTTAATAAACATAATTGAATGATGGCTTTAGATGACCATCTTGCTATTTGTTCCCTTTCTGCTAGCTTCCTCCTACCAAACCAAAGGTACTTTTTAAGCTATTTTCTGGGTAACCATGTTTAGGCAATAAGCAATGATACATTGCTATATCTGTATTCTCTACTTTTCTTCACTTGTAATTGTAAAAGTGTGGCCTTGGACCAAGCAAAGCAAAATGTATATAGCTTTCAATGACTGTTTTATGGCTTCTGATTATTTCAAGGGTGATTATTTTGGAAATAAATTAAGTTGAAATGGGCAGAGTTCCTGACTTGCCACCTGAAAGTTTTTTAAAGAGGTGTGCTCATAGTACATTTTATTTATCCAGGTGATGTCATGATAGAGAAGGGTTTGAAATTCCTAATCCTTGGAAGTTACTGAAAAGCTAATTACAAGCTAAGGCAGGTTTTCTTTCTAAGCCTCAGTTTCCTCATCAGTAAAATGGAGATAACTCTAACTTTGTGGAATTGCTGTAAGGACCCATGTCTGTATCGAAAGCATCTGCCATTTAGTATGTGCTCAACAAATAATAAGATAGTAAGCTCAGTTTAATGCCTTAAATGTTAAATAACAAAATATTTCTAAAATGAGCCAGCATTCATCATACCTATATACAACTTTTCTAAACAAAGAATTGCTCCATTTTCTTGAAGCATCACAAGGCAAATAACCCAATTTAAAGCTGAGTTGACAGATGTTGTATCATCAGATGCTATTTTTCAGTCATTTATTTGTAGAATGGAGATTTGGGGGGGGGAATTAACATTGCTTTGTCTTAAAATGTTCTGCTTCAATTGTTTTATAAATGTAATTAATTCATTAATTACAACTGTATTTAGCACTAGGGACTCACATTCATTGCTGGAAATATAAAATGGTACAACCACTTTGAAAGAAGGTTTGGTAGTTCCTTACAAAGCTAAACATACTCTTACCATATGATCCAGTAATCGTACTCCTAGGTATTTCCCCAACTGACTTGAACACTTATGTTCACACAAAAACCTGCACACACGTTTACAGTGGCTTTATTCCATTTATAATTGCCAAAAATTGGAAGCAATCAAGATGTCCTTCAACAGGTGAATGAACGGGGGTGTGTTTGGAGAGTGGAATATTAATGATAAAAAGAAATGAGTGAGCGAGCTACAAAACATATAGAGGAATCTTAAATGCATATGTCTAGGTGAAAGCAGCCAGTCTGGAGAGAGGGCATGCTGAATGATTCGAACTATACGACATTTTCAAAAAGACAAAACTATAGAAATAGCAAAAAGGTCAGTGGTTGCAAAGGTTCAAGGGAGAGAGGAACAGAGAAAGGAATCAGTGGGGGCAGAGGGATTTTAGGGCAGTAAACTTGTATATGATACTATGATGGTAAAATGTGACGTTAGGCATTGGTCAAAACCCAAAGAACTGTGTAGCACAGAAGGAATTCTGTGTAAACTAGGGACTTCAGTTAGTCGTGATCTATGAATACTGGTTCATAGTTTGTAGCAAAGGTACCACATGCAAGATGTTAATAGTAGGGGAAGCAGGTGGGGGAGGATGTGAGAATCCTATACATTTGCTACCTTTTTCTTTAAACCTAAAATTGCTCCAGAAGTCTACTTTTAAAAGACAGCATTCTGTATATTCTACTCCTCCGTTTGATTTACCTGTTCCCAGAGTAAAAACTACAAAACAGAAAAGTGGTAAGAGTTATCTCCAAAATGTAGCTGGGGAGGAATGCTTAGGAGCTGTAACTCTCCTGAACAGCCCATGTTGTCTCTGACAGGACGTTAGCCACCACAATACCCTTTTATATACAACCGTACCTCATGGGGGAAATGGTATCACCATGTAGACGCTAAAATGTGTGTGAGTATTTATGCATCTAGTAATTGAAGTATTTTGTTCTTACTTGGAATTAGGTGGAATAACTGATCTTTTTCGTCCATGTTATACACTGCCGACCCATTTAGAGCTGTTGAAACAATAAATTGGTGTTATGGTATACCACATTCACTTGCTAAAACTGTACGTGTGTATGTATAACGTGTACAGTCTGTCTTCATTATTCAGGAGTTACCTTCTCTAAAGTCACCAAACACCCCAAATTAGCCAAGCTAGAACTGCTGCTCCTTGGGGACATACAGAGTTAAATTCCTACGAGTCTGATCACAGCATTTTCAGCAATCCATCAATATGTAACTTTGTTTTATGTGTATCTATGTTTAAAGATACTTGATGGTTGATTTATTAACCTTGAACTCATAGTAAACAACAGTGTAACTCTTGACTAAATGAAGCTTCTCTAACCTGTGTGTTCTCCATAAGGCGCATCACGGCTTTCTTGCACTTAGGAACACTAACCAGTAATTTAACACCATACTTGGGGGGCATTTTAAACAACAAAAGAGTCAACAAAAAGTATCAAAATGTAAAAAAAAAAAAAAAAAAAAAAAAAGGTGCTATACTTCTGTGGTTCATCTTGCAAGGGTACAGGTGAATCTTTCTATGAGTAGAATGTGAATGTTTTGACATAATAACTTTGAAAGTTACATGAAGGCTATGTTAACCAGTTTGATGGAAGTGTCTTGGATTGTGTATGAAAACACCACACTGTACCCCCAAAGTGCATCAATGTACACAGTTACCATTCAATAAAAATAAATAAATAAATAAATAAATAAATAAAAAAGACTACCAAAAATGACATTTATGGTATGAGAACTGAAAAAAAGGGAAATTTTTGCCTTGTTCTACCTCAGGTAGAAATGTGTGTGCCAGGCAATGTCCATTGTTCACAAATGTCCCCCAAGGCACTATGCATATTGATTTCGGGGTGACAAATAGGAGAGGGTCAATGATACAGAATACAATTACAAAACAGAAATACAGAATATGCAAATAATGAGGATCAACTGAACATGATGTATGCTGTATATGTATAATGCATGTATTATAATGCATGTATTATCTGATGTGTGTATTGCATGTATATATCTAAACACATATATGTGCCCATATAGTACATTTTTGTGCACATTCATAAAAATAACGTGTACATTGCACTGTGCATACGCTTATATATTTATAATGTACACATTACTTTTATTCGTGCATATGTTTTGATAAAAACTTTGCATTATATGTGCATCTCCATGGGCTTATGGACACACTGCTCCCAATACAAAAGGGACTATATTGGGCAAAAATGGTTTCATTAAAAATTTTAATCATAAATAAATGACTAGATTTTAACATTTGTAGGAGAATAGAACATTTGGGGGGTGATTAGAAAATTATGTGACACTTCATCACCTTTCTAGATTTGTTGTGCATTCACTATTACATGTGGCGGCAGAATGTTTGACTTACTTTTTGTAGAGCAGAACCTCCGTAACTGTCCACCTCCCTACACTGACCACCTCCTCGAGTTATCAATTTTCACAGACCAGGCATGGCATCACACGCACATTTCTGATGGTAGGCCTAGTTCCCTATGTTGACCAGTTTGTTACAGTCCTTTGGGTGGTCCACTTACAGAGGTTCTACTGTATTTAGACTTGTTCTTGGCTTTCTTACACAAGATTTTAGAAAACCAAAACATTTTCCCTGCTACCTAACTGTATGATTTACCTTTAGCTAACATTGTCCAAAATGCAGGCACATTGGGAGTTGATTCTGTTTTAAAAAAGAGAGAGAGAAAAGAGAACAGGATAACAAAATAAGGCAATTGGCTTTAAAAACATTTGTTTGTTAGTTTAGTCATTTAGCAGTTATACTTGGAGCTGGTACCAGGTGCCAGATCCTGAGGTCAGCACTAAGTTATAGATGTGAACAAGGCACAGGAACCCACCTTTATTTTGGATGCAGACAAGGATCATTGTTGATCATGTTACAAGATAATGAAAGCTTTAATACAAGGCATGGGACTTAATTCAACTTGGGAAGGGAGACGATGCTCCAATATGGGCCTAGCAATTGCTTACTAGGTAAACAAGGCAACTCACAGTTGGCAACTCACAGTTAGAACTCATTCTAACTGTGAGCAAACAGAGTCACTAGCAGGCTCAGTGAGCTCTGGGTGCTTCAGCTAGTCCGGAGTGAAGACTATAGATGGGGAATGTGACCAGAGATGAAATTAGAAAGTTTTCACAGTTCAGATCATTTTGGACTTGAATGCTTGGTTAAGAAGTTAGAACATGACCCCAAACCTAGTGGTAAATTACTAAAGTCATTTAAGAAGGGGGATACCAGGATGATCAGTTTTCTATTTTTAAACATATCCAAAAAGTAAATACATTTTTAGTAATGTTAAAGATGCAGAGTAATTCAGAGTAATCACATTAGAAACATACTTTGTTTGCATGAACTGAAGAAAATAGGGTTTCCTGTACTGACAGGTAAGTTTCCATTGTCTTCAAACAGACCACTCATTCAAGACTTTCATTCAAGACTTTAGAGGACAGCCATCCCGGGTTGTTACGGTTTCACAAATACTTTATAAGGAGCAATATTCTTGTCAGGAAAACGAAGTGGTGATTTAGATTTTGTAGCCTCCCGCACCCAACCCCCCCAACTCAAATAATCTTAGGAAACACTAATAATTGATTCTAACCAGAGATACGTTTATTCCTCAAGCTGGTAGAGATTTGTAATTTATTATCAAAATAAATTATATTTAAAATATGTTCAATATATTTATATAAGTATAAGCATAAATTTATATTTATAAATATACAAATAGCCTTTTATATATCTATAAAGACATTAATTTATAGATATTTAATATAGATAAAATGCCATTCGTTTTTATTAAGATAAGATTCTATTTCTAAAACCTCTATCTTCCTAGCTCTTGTCAGAAGATTAACTCTTAGACATTTACTGTTTAAAAGATTTTAGAGTGACTTTAACTTGTAGCATTATAAATTCTTTATGCATGCTATTACTTTATGTTATGTTCAGAGTAGAGAAACTTAAATTTTTAAGTCATATAATGATATACTCCAAGTATCAATACGGTGTATTAGTTTTAATACTTTGAAAACTGTTATGATAGGTTTCTTGAGATTCTTCTTCTTCAGTGGTGGGTTTGTCATATCTAGTTGCCTTGTTAGGTTTATCTAGGAAAAGGGAAAAAGAATTAATGGCATATAAAAATTATTGACTAAACACCTGGGATAAGACATATTTTATTATTTGTTTTAGAGACTGAGTCTTGCTCTGTCACCCAGGCTGTAATGCAGTGGCATCATCACAGGTCACAGAAGCCTTGAACTCCTGGGTTCAAAGGATCCTCCTGCCTCAGGGGTTAACTTTTAAACTTTTTTGTAGAGATAGGGTCTCGCTATATTGCCCAGGCTGGTCTCAAACTCCTGGACTCAAGTGATACTCTTCCCTCAACCTCCCAAAGTGCTGGGATTATAGGCATGCACCACTGCACCCAGCCTGAATAGGCATATTCTAAAGTTTAAAATGGAGCAAAGAAGAGAGAAGAAATGAAAAAGAAAGATAATTACATTTTCCTGAAGTAAAGAAAGAGAAAGAAGGTGATATTGAAGAATAAAGTTTTTGTGATAATGGGTTGTTTGAGGTAGAATTCATGCACCCATAAGGTGTGAAAGAGAGAAAAAGCAGGAAAATGAGGCCATAAGCTTCCTTTAGAGCAGTGGTTCTCAACCTTTCTAATGCCACGACCCTTAGTACAGTTCCTCATGTTGTGGTGACCCCCAACCCTAAAATTGTTTTCATTGCTACTTCATAACTATAATTTTGCTACTGTTATGAATCATAATGTAAATATCTGATATTCAGGATGTATTTTCATTGTTACAAAGGGGTCGCGACCCACAGGTTGAGGACCACTGCTTTAGAGGTAAGGAAGACCTGTTTGAAGAGGTGATGGGCTCCAGGTGGCTCCTTGCACTGGCTTTGAAACAATCTTCTCTATCTAGGGCAGCCTTGTTGCTGTGACACCAAAGAGGGAGCCTGCATGAGTGTGCTTGTAGATGGAAACAGAGGTTTGGATATAAAAATTTGGGACTATAAATCAAGGATTTTTAGGTCCAATTTAGTATATATCTCAGTCTATAAGGGATTCCTTTGGAAGTATGTCACTAAGAAAGTATTGGAGAACAAGGTGGTGCCTGTGGCTCAAGGAGTAGGGCACTGGCTCCATATACTGGAGATGGTAGGTTCAAACCTAGCCTCAGCCAAAAAAACAAAATAAAACAAAACTGCAAAGAAAATAAGAAAGAAAGTCTTGGAGAACAATTATGACTGGAGGGCCATTTTTTCCCCCAGAGAGATAGCCATTTCAGTTAGCCTTGCATAATGCAGGAGTCAGTAAAGCACCATATGAGTACAGGGAACCCCACAATAGGAGGGGTTTTACAGAGAGGCAGAACAAATTTGGACTGAGCCCACAAATCCATTACAAGTATCTTGCTGACAAGAAAGAATGGAAAAGAAAATCTATTACTGGAGTTGATGATTCAGGAAGGACTTGAAAAACTGGTAACTCTGGATTTCTCCAGCTCATCCCCCTTCCTTCAGAGTTTTAGAGATTCTACTTAAGCAAGAAATCCTTCATCAGAACTATCCTGGAGGTCTCTATTTCCTTGGGTCCAGGGGCCTCTGGAACATTGCTGCCATGTCAGTGTGCCTCCTTCTGTGACAGCACCATTTAAAAATGGCAGGAATGTCTTCTTCCACAACTTTCCTTGAGGGCCTGAATCATGGACTAGAAGTTAGGGTTTTGCGATCTTTTCCATGGGTCCTGTGATCTATCCTCAGTGACATATACCCTATGGGAATTTGAGGTACCTGGCCTGTTTAAGAGCTGGCTCTCCCTGTCTCATCCCAAACGACTCAAATGTTGCTTGTTATGCACAAGCAAGATTCCCATGAATGATTTACCTAATAAGTGTATATCCTTTAAATGTCACTGTCTCATTTAAATCCCAAGGGGTAAATTGCTCAAAATAGTTTGTTACGGTCAAGCAGGTTTATTATAATAATAATCAGGTATTACTGAGTCTGTTTTTTTTTTTAAGTATTAAAATTACCATAGCCAGAAACATTCTCTCTTCCCTATTTAAAGCAAAAGATGAAAACAGAAAGGAGGTTTAATAAATGATGTATAAGTTA